TCAAATGGTCATCAGGGCTTGCAAAGATCACTTATACCACCTACCTTCCATGATTGAGAACACCTGTAGCATGTGTTGAAATCAGTTGATGTACATTGTTAGTGGAATGTGGGTGGAGATATTTTTACTTTTGATCATTTAAAGTTATTTCATCAAAACTTCTGTGTTTCTGTGCAAACTGTGACCAGAGAAGTTGAGAAACATATAGTGCAGAAGTCAGTACCATTATCTGTGTCTTGTCCTCAGTCATGCACACGCTCTAAAGAAAAAGAAATGGAGGAGGCTTTAAGAGACTCTGGCCAGACACTTAGTCTGGGGGCCACCTTGCGTGGGCTGCTGCCTGTCTGTGTGAAAAATGACACCACCCTCTCCTGAGGATGGTAAGGGTCAGAAGACAGCACCAAGGCCAGACACAAAAACAAACACCAGTGGAGTCGTGCAAAGATCGAAACACCCTCGGACAATCACCGATGCCTTTCTGGAGACACAGGGCTGGTCAAATCAGCAGCCTCTCAGATTTATGTCCTTTCAGAAGTGAATGTAGTGCTTTTTAAAGCCTTATGGACACTCACTTCCAAAAACAATACAGGCCATTACCGAGAGTAACACAGGCCATGTCCTGGCTTTGGTGTGCTTTATGAGAGGGTCTGTTTATTTAATGATAGAATCCAATGTAACGCAGCGGCCTTTTCTATGACCAGGCTCCGTGGGCAGATGGCAACCATCGATCATCATCTATCAGCTGACCTTCAGGCCAATCACAAGGCTGCTGGACCTTGCTGCACTCAATTCCTGCCCGATTCCCACTGGCTTTATCTTCACCTCCTGCCTTTTTGTTTCCCCTCAGCTGACCATACTACTACTACTACTACTACTACTATTACTACTGCTACTGCTGCTGCTGCTGCTGCTGCTGCTGCTGCTGCCGCTCCATCTGCTGCTGCTGCTGCCACTTTATCTATTTGCTCTCCTGGAGCAATCTGGAGAATAACCTAAATGTTGTTGAGTTATTGCAGAGATTGATTGAGGCCAGATTGAAGAGACTGATTTGTTTTTAGAGTTAGAACCTCCTGCTCTTCAGTCGGGGATCATGTTGATACATTCACTTATCTCTGCAACAAGGACACAATTCTGCTGCCAAGAAAATTCAATAAAGTCAGGAGTCATTTCACTAACGCATCAAAAATGCACCCCTGAGTATAATAACAAACAATAACAAAACAAATTAATGGTTGAGATTGGTATTTTTAGAATGATTCTTTTGAATTCAAAGTGGAGAGTATGCAGTGGAATAAGCCACAGAGGAAAGTGTTTGGGACCAGTTGTTGTCCACATCTCCCACATGACTTCATCTGGCCTAGTGTCTGAGGGTGTCAGAGGATCTGGGCTGGAAGATAGCCATATCGTTGCCACATGCTAGCTAAATGTTGTCTAAAAAAATAACCTTGGCCAATTAGCTATTAGACAAGTTGAACCATGTGGTTTACACCTGGCCAAACGCTTTTAAGGAAAATCCAGGAAATGTTTTATCAAGTTTGGAAGCGTAAGGTGTTAATTTCCCATCATCCATTCTTCTTGTGTTCTGTGCTAATTAACACTGTTCAGCGTGATAACAGGACAGTTAACATTCAGAGTAAACAGGTTACCAAATGAGCAGCACGTTGACTTTGTTTTAGGGAGTTTTCCGAGGTAAAGGTTTCACTCAAATCAGTGGAGTTGTCAGACAGCCTCACAGAACTGTCGTCATCTTGCTCATTTCCTGTCTCTTCTTGCATGAAACGTGATAATTTAAAGATCCCTGAGCGACGTCTTCCAAACGCAATAACGAGTCAACATCTTCCCAATTTGCCATGTCTGAGAAGCAGAAGCAGATGAAAACTGAAAGTGATTCACGAGGATGTGCGACAGTGATAATTAAAATTCTTCCTGCCTCCAGCAGCAGAATTTTTAGACTGAATTCACTGTCACATTACAACTCCTGGATCCCATCTCAAAATAAATTCTTCAGAAGGTGCTAACTTGCTGGAGAAGGAGGGCAGCTTCAGAGGTGAACGCCCCATCTCACTGCTCTGGAACCTCCCCATGTCCGCAGATCATTCTTTTGTTTTCCTCCTTTACACCTTTTTGTACCTTTTTTGTTTCTTGTTACGTGTATAAAAAAGGAGAAAAACTCAGCCTAGGTGGAGACTGCTCCAAGAGACTGCAGATAAAGTATTGATAAACGCAACACTTCAAAAGTGCTGTTCTCGCTAACAGCGCTAATCAGCACATTGTTGGCATGGAAATTGCCAACCATTTACATGTGCTGACAACACACACACACTCTCACACCGAAGGAAAAGAAAACACCTGCCTTTCACATACTCAGCTTGCAAATCACAGACAGGTCAGCATCCAGTATTTGAGTCTTTTGAGTGGCCATTTCACTGCTAACATTACTAACATTTTCTTGCTCCCTCCCATCTGTGTAACTGTTTAACTTCAGGCCAAAAAAGTAGCCGAGTTGATGACAGGTCGACAAACTATGCATAAAGTTATACAGTCACGTAGAGGCGTCGTGAGATATTACTACTACTTCTACTTCTGAGTAGTAGGTACAAGGTAGAGTTCATGTAGTACTCAATTTAAATCAGACCTAACCTGGAGAATAGCGATGAGTCAGAGCCAAACTCAAATTTACATTTGTAATACTCCACTCCAGCCCTGTGTGGTCGTACAAGACAACATCTAGTTCCAGGACTTTCTCTCCAACCCTGCAGCTAGAACTCCTCGGCCCCGCCCTCCTCTGTTCCACCTACTTTGAACCAGCACCACCGCCACCACTGACTGCACTGGTGACTGAATTATTCATGGCAGAGATGAGGCAGATGCTGCTGGGAGACAGAGAGTACCTTTCTGTATGCAGTTTGCAGCAGCGGGACCTTCAGAGCCGGTTAGTTGATCTGAGCTGCTTGTCTGCGCCGCTGTGGTGCTCCTGAGGAGGATGAGGAGTCAGAAATCAATGGTTGAGGAGGTGAAGATGTACGTATACCGGGGAAGAATAGAAATGTGGAACTTTTAAACGCAAGTTTCACAACTGGGGCACTTGACAATGTTTATTAAACAATGGAGAAGTGAAAGGAAAAGAGGCGAATCGATACAGTATATAGGTGCTTATGGGATGTCAGCTGACAGATATGGTTCTATCAGACACGTCTTTACAAAGACTTACTTTGAGACTAACAAATCCCTGATATAAAGTGGAGAAACACAGGACTGTGATCATAATGTAAGGTGGAATAACTCAGAATTTCAGAATTGGACACCTGCATAACTACCACATTTTTTAACTGACTTGATTTTTAGCCACTCAGAAGCCAACAATTGCTAAATTTGATCATTATAATAAAGATATTAATAAAATAACATAATTAAATCTATTGAATTAGTCACAAATAACAACAGGTGTGAAACATGTGTCTACCTACTTTTATTTGTTTCAGCAATAAACAGAAAATATTTTAATAAATATTTTTAGGAATGTTGATTTATCTTGATTAATCACCAATAATTCGAATTAATCATGACTAATCCACAGCTACGCTGGGATTACTCAAATTTAAAGTTTTACTTTAACAGTGGCCTCTGCCAAACAGTACAACAACTAGAAATATAAAGTGGGTTTTGCAGTTTTTTTTGTTACCTGTTCTGGAAGGGCAGTACTGCCTGAACTGGGATCTCAGGAACAGGCCGGTGCCTCAGCCTGTAGGAGCGAGTCAGCCGTGGACCTGGAGAAGAACTGACCACGGGCTGAGTCTCGTAGATGGAGTTTTCTACCATTTCACCAGTAAATACCCTGTGGATGTCAGTCCCAGGTTGGTGGAAGTTGTCAGCAGAGCAGGACGCTGAGTCAACGCTCGGCAACAACTGCTCCTCTGGGGTAATCTCCCAGTCTGGGGGCATTGCTGTCATATCTAGAGACTCTGTGCTGCTGCTGGAGGACACAGAGGGAGGAATCCAACCATCCAAAGACTCAGACGTTTGGGTGTTCTTGGGGTTTCTTGGGGCGGGTTGTGGTGGGCAAAGGTTTGTGCCTTCAGTTACTGATCCCAGACCTGCTCCTGGAGGTAAGGTCTGACTCCCCGAATTGCACTCAAATATTTCTTTTGGCTTGGAGTGCTGAGATGAAGTCCCTCGTTTTCTATCCTTAAGGAAAATTTTCCTGGGATATGGCACTGGTTTTCCAACTCCCAAAGCTTCCAGACTGCGGAGGATACGCCTACGATGGCCAGTAGGAAAGACTCGAAGTTCCAGCAGCTGTTCATCTGTGAGGTCCTTGCAGTCTTCCAGAACGTGGTACCCTTTCTGCTGGAAATATGGGATATACTGGGAAAGACGCAGGGTGGACAGCCAGTCCACAATCTGCTGACCGGGCTCTGTGGACTCTGGAGGCTCCATTACATTGGTCTGACTCTACAGCTGAGGCATCAGAATGAACCTGTAAAAGAACTTTATTGTCCAACCTAGACACAAAGGGAAGACAAAGTTATGGTACGAGGTGAACGGTCTAATCTGAGGACACCGCATGTGCCATCAAACCTCATTTTATCTTTTTACTCAAGAAGTTCCAAGTTCATGACTCCTCTCTTGTACCACTGATGGGATTATTAACCTCTGAGACATTCATTATGTCTAACAAGAATTTAATTTCAGACATCACTGAGGCTGTGGTGAAATTTACTACTCTGCAAGGTCAAATCACACAGAGTGGATATGGATTTTCAGCTCAGGGATAAAAATAAATAAATCGGCAGATACAACAGAAAGTGACAACTTTCAGATGGAGGTCTCACACTGACGGCATCAAACTGGCAGAGAAGCAGAGTGGTGATCTCAGTGAAAGAAAGTAGTGACCCTTCACTAAGTTAATGTCTTAGTCACATCTCAGTAGTGAAGACTGACAATAGCAACACCAAACTTTACACACACACACACACCTCCTCAAGTTCACTTCTCCTTTAGGCTCTACACAAGGTGTTACTTCTGTTTCTTTGTTCATCTGATACTCATACTATGAGCAGCCATTTACTATGAGAAAGACCAAAGCCAGTAATCTGTAGCTGAAACAAAGGCCACAAACAAAGGTCAAAAAACTTTGACCATCGGTCATTTGTACACCCCCACATCTGTTCATTCAAACTTATTTGCATGTTTTTAACCTTAAACTTGTTGTATACGTGTTAAAAACTGGGTCAGATTTGGTTATGCAAAATAATCCTCCTGTACTTGCTATTGCAAGTTCATTAATGCAAAACATTTCAAAATAGAACTGACCTTTGAGTCCACATTTACACAGGTCAAACACATGTCTAAGACAACAGTGAAGCAGGAACAGGAAGTGCCGCAGGTGAGGCCTGGGATTTATCTCCCTACCCTGGTTAAAAACTCTCTGTGGTGCAGCAGCTGTAGGTACATCAGACCTCAGTGAGTCACCGGCAGCACGTCGGTGCATGTACACCACCGACACACACCTACATCATACCTGTGAACACAAAGTCCAAAGTGGATCCCCTTCCTGGTTTGACTGACACACACACACATAAACACACACAGGATTGTAGTTTCCACACCAAACGACAACCTCTTGTTTATTACCACACATGTGTCAGTGAAGTCCAGCAGTGATGCTGGGCAGCGTCTTCATCACAAACGTGCGTCAGGTGCGCAGTTGTGCGGTCACCTTTATGCACTTACGGAATTTCAAACAAATAAACACAGTGGAGGCCAATTAGAGTATTTGGCTTCACTTTCTGTTCAACACTCAGTGTACACGAGCGCCAAAACGACTCTAAAGTATAACTGAAACATCGGTTAGACTGTAAGCCGTGGAGATAAACACAGGAATAGTTCCACTTTTCCTGACTTGTGTTGGTGCTGTGAAGAAAATAAACACAGGTTGAAGTTTCAGACCCGGCTCACCTGTGTCTGCAGCAGTAGGAAGCGTCAGCTCAGGTACCGTCCGTTTATGTCATTGTCGAGCAGCGTCTCTGACTTGGTGCGCTTGACACAATCAGCGTCCGTTTCCTTTCACCCGCGCGTGAGTGTGCGCAGCACGCCACACACAAATCTCCGCCCACTCTGAGTACTTTCAGTGCAGCAGCCGCCACAGGTTGCACAAGAACCGTTCTCCGTGTGTCCTGGACGTGTCTGCAGTTGTTTATAATTTCCTTCGACCTGGGATTTGTGTTAAATAAACGTCTTTGTTTACTCATTTGAAAGAACGAGAGAAAAACACACACATGCACACAGACGTGCACGTGTGTGATAAGTAAAGATGAAGTTGGAACACTGAGTGAACATGTCCCAGCTTGAGCTCAAGGCCTCAAGATACACACAGAGTACACAAAAGGAATGCGGCAGGATACCTGGTACCGTCTGTGAAGAGCAGAGGCATAACAAAGAATTATGGATCCTGGATCAGGGGGGCAGCAGTGAACCAGAACTCTTGTCCTGAAACTGTCAAGATCAAATCATAAACCACTTTCTTAAAGAGTTAAAGTGAAACAGATAGCTTAGTGTATTTTACTACAGGAAGCCTGCTCTAGTTTTTAAATTTTGCCAATATTTGAACATTTCCAGGGACAAATGTTAACCAATAGGTGGCAGCAATTCTGAAACAATGTCAACTGCCATAAAAAAAAAGAACAGGAAATGATTGCTGGCAGAGAGGAAGAGACTTGTTATTAACTATTACCATTTTAGGAAAAATCAGAAGAATTGCAAAGAACTTGTGAATGGGAACCGACGTCATACTCAAACATTATGTAACTGTCAGCAATAAAACACAGTAATTAATGTACTGTCTGAGAATCAACTAGTGAAAGTACAGCCTTGTAGTCAGTTATTTTGTTCCACTGCAGGTACTGCATAATACAGCCACGTCATATTTGTATGATTTGACTCGGATATTTGTCATTTTCTCCTATTAAACATCAGCAAAATGACAGTCTGATGTGCAGTTTGCAGAATAAGCCACATGGTGGTGCCAGAGTAATTCAACACGATGGTTCATCAGCGTTGGTTGTAATCAGTTCACGTTTTTGTTTCTGTACAGGTCAAACACGCGTCCAAAAAAGAAAGAGAAAATAAAACGAAGCGTGTTGTTGTTTACATTTTTGAAGGTTTTTTATCCTTTACATTACTCTATACCACAAACATCCAATTATACAGATCTGTATTTTTCTCAAATCTACTTTAAGGAGTTCCTTTTTACCCATAATGCCTTTGCACTGTTCACATGACATTTGCAGAGTTTGTTTTGTATTTGGTGTGCACTTTAACGCAATTCAAGAACCTGAATGTGTCTTCTCTTGTCTTTGTAATTATCATATTTAAAAAAAATAGTAACGCACAAAAACTTTAAAAAGCAGGAAGCATCATGAAATGTTCAACGTCTAGCAGTGAAAGTAGCAGTGACAGGACAATAGTGACCAATGATAAGATGTCTAGAGGACATGCAGGACTCTTCTCTGTGGTTCCTCCTTTTGTGTATCCCCGCCACGCCTCCAGGGGTCGCCTTGGCAACAGGTTTTACTGCCCGCAGCCATGAAAGTACAGCTTTGGCTCCAGTAATGAGAGCAAAGCAGTTCACTGGATGGAACAGTAGACACTTCTGCAGTGACTGAAAAAAGGAAGGGTAAAAAAAGTTGGCTTTTTTTCTTCGTTTTATCAACTGAGAGGACAATAAAAAGAAAACAAAGAGAAGTTTTTTCCCTTTTCTTTGTTGCTTTGGTTTTGGCTATGCACAGATTCGTTTTCCCAAGATGTTGACTGAAAAGGACTGAAAGAATTCGGGAAAAGGCAGCACTGGAAGTGAAAGGATGCATTGTCCAATCAAAGAAGAGGAGATGGAAACAAGGCGGAGGAGAGGAAATACAGAGCATTGCCGAGTTTTAGGAGTGTTGGAGGAGATGAAGGTTTTTTATTCTGACACCATGACAGGATGGAGGGGAGCCATCACTGAGTGGGAAGCCACCATCGATGAGTGTCCACCAGGGGGCAGAAATCAGCAACTGCAATCAACAACAGACATTGGTAACAGAAAATTAGTTTTATTTTCTCTAACTTTAATTCTGCAAATATAGGTGCTAATGGTATTTATATGATTGTATTGTAATTATTAGTATTATTAATGCTACTATTATCTTGTGGTTATTTTTGTTGTTTAATATTGTTACATATATAGTTTTGTTATATATACAAATGTATTTTTATTTTATTTTTATTTTTATTTTTTTTGTCATATATACAAATGTATTTTTATTTAGCTATAATTGTTGTACTTTTTAAAAATGTTTTCTACATCTGCTTCATTTCAGATGTTTCTCCAAACTCCATCAGCGACACCTTCCAGTGTTTGGCTGATGACATGCAGAAAATCATCAACAAAGTGAGCACAATCATAACCAAACTGGAGCCAGAGATTCTGCCAGCACCTGTAGAAGTCACTTCAAGTCTGGATGAAACCTGTAAGGAGACCACGGAGCCTGTATCACACGAATCTGTGTCCTGTGTGCCTCAACAGGAGGCTGAAGTTGAACCTGAACAATGCTGTGAAGGCCTGTCAGCAGACAGCCAACAAACTACAGACTCTACCGTCTGCAGCTCAGACTCCAGTGCTGCAAACAAGACAGAAAGTCAAACAGGGATCCAAGGTCAGGGGACTGACAATGAGGACTGTGTTTCTACTGTGTGTCAAAAGGATTTACTACAGAATGCAGGAAGACATGCAGAGAGGGCAGAGGTCAAGGTCAAAGAAGAGACAAGGAGAGAATGGATCACAGTGGGGTGAGTCAAAAAAGTAACCAACATTACATCTTCATTACTGTGACTCTTCTATACTATCAATAAAACTGTACGGATCTTAAGTCAGTAAGTATCACGAAGGACTATCCAAAAACCCACAGGAAGTTGGTGATTTTGAATTTCCTGGTGATTATATTTTGTTAATTCAATTAGTAGTGACTGTTTGATTCAGTGTTCACAGCAATAGAACATAAAAATTGAAAGTCAACCGTACCATCTGTGTTTTATCCTGTGTGTCTGGAGATGATCCAGTTTCTTCCCCTTCATTTGTATGTTCACTCATACATAAGAAAAAACCTCTGCAAGGACTTTATCACTCTGCAGCCAGCTCTTTCACACAGTTCACAGGTGGGTCAGTGCACACAGTTTGTTCAGAAGGAAAGGAAGGAAGGAAGTGAAAGTGAATTGTCATTGTGACACAGCACACCGCTGCACACAACCAAATGTGACCTCTGTTTTTAACCCATCACCAAAGTGAACAGTGGGTGAGGACGGTGCCATGCTCAGAGCACCTCAGTGGGAACTAGCTGGTGGACTCGAACCTGAAGCCTTCCTGACCCAGGTCCGCTTCCATAACCACTAAGCCACCACTGCCCCTCAAATCATGAATCCAAACAAGTCATGAACGTTTAGATCAGACCAGGAAACCCCGTGGTGGACAGACTAGAGATGTTGGTTTCCACCAAAGGTTGGAGTGAGTTCGTTTCTACTACACTGATGAAATATTAACAATTTCTACCTTTCTGCAATAAAATCCAGGCTGACTGGTGAAATGGAGGACGGCCAATCAAACGTTCCGGATGCCTGCTTCATCCAGGCTCCAGCTGGTGCAGCTGAGGTCCTGAGGTGTGAAATGGCAGAAGCCTTCAGCAGCTTCATGGTGGCCGGCTCAGAGGAGCTGGTCAGCAGGGTGATCAGGATTAAGGTCCAAGGTCAGGCCAAGTTCCCCTTCCCTGTGACTGTGAGCATGCCTTTCTGCACCCGATACCATGGCGTCTACAGGGATGTTGTTGTGAAGATTGTAGATGGAGAGCAGAGGGTGAGCTACATCACTCCTGTAACAACAGAGGGAGTGTGTGGTCAGAAGGTAAGGTTTTTACAGCATCAGCATTAGTATCAGGCAGACATTAACAGAAAATGTCATGCAGACTGTATAGTCTTTAAATCTTTACAAGCTGTTTAAATGAAGGTTGTTTAAATGAAGGCAATTTATGTATTTTGGAAATGTACAGTACAGTTCATGTAAGAAAAACATAAATCAAAAAACCAGATTACAGTATCTCTAATACAGTCCCATGAAGGACAACAAGAGAGTCACAAAGCCTGTATAAGGTCATATAACATTTAAATGTTTTTCATGCTGAGTTTTTTATTTTTAATTCTGTCTTGGTAGGGCTCATTTGCAGAGGTGAAGGTCTACTCCCTGGGTCTCTTTGCAGTGGTGTCCTGTCTGAAACGAGAACACTACACAGTTCCCAGAAGGGGTTTGTCACTCAAGCTGCCAATGGACGCTCGTGTGTGTCTCAACTACCTCCCAGGATCGTTTACTTATCCAGTGATGGCACAAACCATGGTAGATTGTCTTTATCCAGCATTCAAACAGAACTCATTTGATTTGTCAGTTTCCTCAAGTTGTTTCTTAATCTAGCAATAAAAAAACTTGACTGACACATTAGCAATCTGTTAGCAACATAAAAGTGTCCATTTCATTGGTACTCATTTCCATGAATATTTCACATTTCTGATTTCTTCTGACTCAGATCCAGCCTTTAGACACTGTCCTCCTGGCAAACGTCAGGGCCAGAAGTGACATCTATTACTCAGTGGTGTCTACCAGTTCACTGCTCTACCTCAGCCATCCAAACTCACAGCTTCTGAGGAGGCCACTCACCATCACCTTACCCTGTCCCCCAAACCCTGAAAAGAGATGGAGGATCAGAGGACAGGGGAAAGGAAGACACAATCAACAAATCAGTCCTCTCGCTCTGACATGGGATCAACCTGCTTCTCCTTACCCTAGAGTGAGGTACAGTAACAGGCGACATGTTGGGAAGGACTTTCACAAACAGTCAAAACATGAGCAAATTGTCTTTATTGTTTTACTGTACGACTATCAACCAAACAATAACACAGCAGATACAGGAGCCAGACTGAGGTGATGTAGTTACAGTGGTGACAGGAGTTGTCTCATGTCTAAAAAGTCAGGGGTTTGATGTCTGCTGTCTACTGACTATATGATTGGTTTAACATTTAAGGTTGTTTACCATCTCCTTATCCTGTCAGAAAACTGGAAGCCTCTCTGATATCCCCGGAGGAACTGTCGGATGAGCTGGTCGTTCTGTGTTCTCGGGACAGACAGTGGAACGTTCTGGAGAAGGTGACAGTCAGAAACCAGCAGAACGGATTGGTGTCGTTTGAGGTGATGGAGAACTTCGACAGGTTTGAACCCACTACCTGAGACAGTTTACAGCGTGATACTTCCACCTTCGTCAGACCGTCACCAGGTGTCGGTGGTGACGTGCCAGCTAGGCGTGATCTTCCTCTCAGATTTGACAGACCAGTAACGCCTCCTGCTGTCAGGTCACCTCCCCCCGGTGGTGCTCCTGGTGTGTGGCAGCATGTACGCGCCCTCATCTCAGTTCATCGTCCTGTGTGCACGTTTACTTATCTTATGGCTTCCTCCCAATTCATTCAGTGGTTGTGGTTTACTATGGTCTGAAATGGCTGATCCTGGATCCTTCTGATGCTCCTTTTTGAGCAGCTGCCTGTTTCCCTGATGTACACTTTAGTACAAGAGCAGCTAGGTATTTCATATATGACGTTGCATTTTTTTTTCAGTTGTATCTTGTCCTATTTAAGTGTAGACATTATGAATTGATACAGTATATCCCCATTTTTACTGTTTCTAATCTCATCTTTGAATCATTAGTCTCGTCTTCAGTCCATTTATCCAGCTGTAGTCGTACCATAATACACAAATGGATGTGTGTCCAAACACATCCATTTTTACTTTGAGGACATTTTCAACAGCTCCTCTCTATGGATTTGTTGATGCATCTTCCAAACTAACAAGATAACTGCACAAAGTGCAATGTGTGGCAGGATCATCCACAGCAGAAGAACCAGCAGTGCAGAAAACCCCAGAGTTAATCCTGTGGTCTGACACTCCATCCAATCCTCATTGGTCTCGGGTTCTGAGCTGTTTTGAGCGGTTTGTCCATCCACCAGGAGGACAATCTGAGAATCATAAAATATCAGATATCAAAGCCCTTTGTTCACCCTAAAACAATTTCATCAATAGTCAGTGTTTTTTAAAAGGTAATTTCTGATTTTTGCCCAACTTTGTCTCCTTGATCCTGAGACTTCCTGTTGAAGTCCACCAACCACTGCAGCTGATTCAACGGCCTGTATGTCCTCAGTTTCCTGCTCTTGGTTCCCAGGCACAGAGTAAGAACTGGTCGACCTCCTGAACCACCAATCAGGATGTAATATATCCTGCATCTGACCACAAACACCGGGGGGAAAAGACTTTTACTGCACTGTAAATGAATTCCATAGAATCCAAACAATCAGATCAATTCATTTTAAAAGTACCTTTTAGCTGAAACAGAGTTTGCTCCAGTTGACTGCAGGTTCAGATGTGTCTCAGGTGAAGCAGGACGATATATTAATCTAATCAAACCAGGGAACCCAGGTTGTGTGTCTCTGTGTAGGCTTTTAAAGCTGAAGACATGAACAAAGGTGAGGCAGGAGGCTGGGGTTGATTTATGTAGAAGAAACACACTTCATTTGGAGTAACCGTGCAGTAGTTTAGAGTATACCTCTCAGTGAAGTAGAGCCTTTTGTTCTGGGGTCGTGGTATGCTGGCCTGCAAGATGAGAGAAGCTCAGAAGATGAAGTTAAAGAAATGCCTTTGACTGAGTGTGTAGGCTTCCTACCACAAATGTCCGCTGTCCCAGGCCCATTAGTTGGAAAAGAAAGTTGGGAAGTTGCAACATCTTGTCCCGGTTTTGGCTCGTCCTCACAGCCACCTCCACACAGTGACCCCCAGCGGTGACAGTCATCAATAATCCTCCAACCACATAGACGAGAAACCAAACGTTGTCCCTGGTCAGAGGGAGAACAAGAGTTGGACGAGACGTTTGGCACAGCTCATATGACTGGATGTATTTGACAATATCTGCCGTTTGTAGATATTTACTTTTGGACAATGAGTGCTGGTGGGAACTTGAACATGAAGGAGACAGTCTGAGATGTTGGCTGAGATGGAATCCAGCTAACAGCTTCAGCTGTAATTACACATTTGAACGAGCAGACGGCTACTTCATTCATTTAAACTGAATTAAATTAAATGATAGGTACATATATAAATACACACATGTTAACACACAGACGCACACATATATAGGCGTCTGTGTGGTGACCTTTGACCTAATGAACAAAATCAGCAAAACAAAGGAACATGATCTCACCTCTTGTCGCGTCTGCTCTTTATCCTGTTTCAGAAGTTGGTAGAAAAATGAATTGTTGGTTTCAGTACTGACACCAGGACTGGAAGAGAAATACAGGAAAGGAAAACTGCAGAAACCGACAAATAAAAGGCTTTTCTTTACGTAAGGGGTTTAACAAAGGCAGTGTGGATCAAGACAGAGCTACATGCTTGGGATTCCAGCCTTCAGTCACCTTATATAACGATGCTATATGTAAGAATTGAAAACGGATTTTTGTTTCAAAGATCATAGATGTATTGGCTTTAAATAGTAAAACCATTCTTCAGTAAGGATGTACTGAACTACAGAGCTCAGCCCATCACACTGTTAGCTTTAATCTCAAACAGCTTTCCTGCTGGAATAATGAGATTTCTTGGAGGGAAATTAAATTCTCCATTCTGTCTTAAGTGAATTAACTGTGTGCTCTGACTCTGATCTTCTCATCTGCTCCCGTCTCTGTCTGTCTGCTCCTCCCAGACTCCTGGTGGTTCGTCTCTCCTCCCCACTGCAGCCCTGTCACCTCACCTCCTTGGCGGAGGAGCTGGAGGAGTCGGTGGGCTGTCACTCCGTCGCCGTGGTCCTCCAGCGTCCACAAAATGATCCATACACCGTCCTATTGGCTGCGCTGCCGAGCAGGGACCTGAGCTGGGAGCTGAGCAGACTGAGGTGTGGGAGTAACGGTGGTCTTCTGGAGACCTCGTCTCAGATCTCCATGTGTGAAGGAGATCAGCTCCTCCTGTGCTTCAGTGGCAACATCACCTCCACCAGTAAGACCTGCAACCAAAACAGATGGAAATCATTATTGTGGTTACCTACCTCTAGATGATTTAGATACTTGTTGTTAACTTTTGGCTACATTCACGGCTAATTGTTAGCTCTATTTAACTGCTATTACTTTTTTTGAGAGTTTTATAACATAAGAATTATAATTATTGTGTTAAAAGTTAATTTAATTAAGTTATGCCACATTAATTATGACACAAACAATGTTATATAATCAAATGTAACATAATAATGTTACATTTGATTATATAACATTGATTGTTAATTAATTTAAATTATATTTAAGCATTTTCTGAGCTACAGTAACACTTGCCTGTGATTTTAGTTCATGTTAGTCCTAATTATGGATTGTGTCTTTTTGTGGTGGTGGATTAGTGTGTAAGGAAGTGGACTTGGGTCAGAAAGTTTTCAGGTTCGAGTCCCTCAGCTGCCAAGTTACCACTGAGGTGCTCTGAGCAAGGCTCCGTCCCCACACACTGATCCCCTTAAAGCTGCCCACTGTTCACTTTGGTGATGGGTTAAAAACAGAGGTCACATTTGGTTGTGTGCAGTGGTGGAGCTGTGTCACAGTGACAAGGAGTTCACTTTCCTGTTTTTCCAAAATAACTTCATATCTCTGCTGGTGTCATAGTAGTAGTAGATGTTGTTGTCATTTTAAAGGCTACAAATGTTTGTTACCCTGTTGTTTGTAAATGATGTAAAGATAACAGCGTTCTTCTTCATGTTCCTACAGGAACCCTTGAAAACCAAAATGGTGCCCCGCAGGAGCGAATCACCTTTCACGCTCAACGCACCAATCAGTTGTCTGTGCGTCTGACTGAAGTGGACACATTTGGAAACTACAGCTCAGCACACTATAAAGGGACAGTGCAGTTTTATAAGGTGAGCAGAGGTCAGGTGGAGTGGAGAGGAGACACAGCTGGGCTGAAGGATAGAAGGATGCTGCAGGATGCTGTGTGTTCACTGCCTCTGACTTTACCCAAGGTGACCAGCAGTTCAGCCAAACTACTATTTCAACTGACACCTGTCTCCAAAGCTTTGAAAGAAAACCAAATGTCTCCATTTAATATCTTTTTTTTAGAAAGTGAGGACCATTAATCGACCGATCACAGCCAAGGTGAAGTTATGTGAGGAGACAGGTATTTTACAACCACACTCTTGTGTGTTTCCTCTGATGTTTGATGTTTGGATGGGATCATCTATTCAATGATAAGAACATTTTCCAGGTCATTTATTTAATGGTATCTGCAGCCCAGAGCTTCAGCAATGATAACGATGAGAACTAACAACCGTCTCGTCATTTGATCATTATTTCATTCTTTTCTCCTCAATCTAATCTGGTGTGCTTAATCACAGAGGGTGTTTTTACTTTTTTTTTAAATCTGACATATATAAAAAAGGGATTTGGGGATTTATTGATTGAATTTCTTTTTGGATTGTTTTTGTTTTGTTTTGCTTTTGACTTAAAGCTAAAAAGTTTAACATCAGAGTTTTGAGGTTAATTTTATGCATACAGTATATCCATCCATCTATCTATCTATATATATATATATGTGTGTGTGTGTGTGTGTGTGTGTGTGTGTAGAGTATATATACTGTATAAGTATATATACTGTATATGATGGGAATTTCCACCAACTTTTCCATATCGTCCACTCACCAGACTCCCTGTCGGACTCTCTTCTTCTCTGGTTGGCTGGGAAACTGTCAGAGGAGGAAGTAGCCTCGTTGGTTCTGTCCCTGCGTCTCCGCCGTAGTACCACTCAGCTTGTAAGGCGACGGTCAGGGCCCAGTGTGTCCACCCAGGCCTTTAACGTCCTGACCATGTGGAGGAGAGGTCAACCGGCCGCTGCACACCAACACAAGGCCTCACAGCTGGCCCAGTGTTTGTCAAAGAGCGGGAGAGCGGATCTGGGCCGGGAGCTGCTGCTGAGACAGAATGCAGCCATGAGACAGGGATCACCGACCTGAAGACATACAGTGTATAATTACTGATTATTTCCTTTTTAATCGGACCTACAGTACCCAATATTAGCCACCAGAGAGCAGCATTGGACTGTAAGGAATTATACACCGGCTACAAAAGAGACACTGGTGAAGCCTAATATTGTTAGTACGTATGTGAAAGATTTATTTTATCATATCAGTATTTTTTTTATTATTATTATTTTACAGAAATTGTATATTTGTCAGTAGAAAGCACTTCATGGAAAAACATTCAGAATCCATGATGTACTGGCCTTAATGTAATACTGAAATGTTCAGTTAGTTCAGTAAAACTATTATAATTCTATAGAGAAGCTAAAGAACTACTTGCTAGTTTTTGTAATTATGTAGCAGTTAATTTTTTACTTCCTATTTGATGATCAAAAGATTATATCACTCAATAACTATGTTAGGATACAAATGCAAATAATACAATGCTATATTTGTTGCTTATTTTCTACGATTCTTTCAGTTTTTAATTTTTTTAAACAGAATTTTGAATAAATTCCTATTTCTGTTTATTTTCTCCCTGGTGCTCCACACATTTTTTAATGGGAGATAAATCTTGACTGCAGCTGGACCAGTTCAGCAAGCAGCAGGTTCAAATTCAACTGCTGCACCCATGTGGTCAGACAGTGTCACAGCCAGTAATAGACAGGAGTTACAGCTGAAGAATACACTCAGAGCCCTGTTGAGGTTAAAGCACTCAAACTCACAAAGTATATTTTGCAAAAGCCTTTCAAAATGTATGCAAACTAAACCTTTAACTATTTCTCCTTTTAAACTCCACCGTCATTCCAAAGTCTGTGACCAGTCAACCTCGTGATTGCTGAGACCCTGAATTTGAGAACAATTTAATCAAAATCTTCCTCTATCTCACTTACACTTGACATCATGACAAGAATGGGAAAGCAAAACTAAGCACATTTTGGATTTATTTATCTATTTGAAGCGTAGCAGCATTTCACGACATGAGGTTTGCATTCGCAGCAACATTTGTCTCTGTCACCTCCCTCCACAGACAGGCAGGTGATTTAAACGGCCAATCAGCCGCCTGTAAACGAATGGTGACACTGAGCTGTGACCCGTTCTCAGCTGCCTGACACTTAGTCGTCTTTTGGATTTCACAGCATGTCTGTTGATGATAGCTGGGCAGGATAGTAGGGCTATACTCACAGTACACGGAGGATTACTGCAGTTTCTTTTTACATGCTGTGAGGTTCAAATATTTTAAATTAAATTCCGGTGTGCACTGTTGTAGTATGCAAACATTTCAGATTGTGTAAAAAAAGGATTGCATGGTCTGTGTGAAAGCATATCCTAATTATGTGTGGTTAATAAACGTGTTTCCCTTCAGAGGACGTGATGATTAAAGACAGACTGGACTACTGTCCTCCACTCTTGCTGCTACTTAATATATAATTACATCCTGATAAGTTTGAACCCAACAAAAACCCCGTCCTCCTCTGATTAAATCTGGTTCCTCTAGGTTTGAGCTCCGCCCTCTTTCACTGGGATTTGATCGAGGTATTTGTCATCAGCTCTTCTAACTCCAGCTGTGTGACATTCAGCAGACTCCAGGCTGAAGCAGAAGAGGCTAATGATCAATGTCATGTGTCCATGTGGGGACAGGAGGCTCCCTGCAAGGCTCAGGAGCCCCCTGCTGCCACAGCTGGGGGGCACAGTTAATGAAGTATGAAATGGTAACAGGTGGAGGTGATGTTTTCCAGGAGGAGGATTATTCTGTAGCAGACGGATGACGTGTTTCCACTCAGCTGCTTTTGACACAAATGCAAAAGCACAAACTTGAGATGTCACTCAATTTGACGTCCTGCAGAGACAAGAACTCTGGTACGTTTTCTGTCTTTTGTCTTCTGTGTTCAGTTCAGTGTTCAGTGACTTTACTGTCTGGAGGTTTACCTACAATACCTGCAGTACATGGCAATACATGAAAGTTTAGTTTCACTCAGACTATTGGTAATACAGGCATTTACAGCCCAAATATGAACATTTTTGAAACATTCAAAATCATTCTGTGACCTTTTGCTACATTTTTCAAATCATGTTCTGTAAATTTGCTCAAATTATGTTTGTAATAGTTGGTTAACACTTCAGCGGAAGACACTTGTTTCTGCATCTCTGTTTCCTGAAGGTAACTAAAGTTTCAAAGGAAAGAAAGGAAAGTGAACTCCTTGTCACTGTGACACAGCACACCACTGCACACAACCAACTGTGACCTCTGTTTTTAACCCATCACCAAAGTGAACAGTGGGCAGTTTAAAGGGGAGCAGTGAGTGGGGACGGAGCCATGATCAGAGCACCTCAGTGGTAACTTGGACTCGAACCTTCCGGACCCAAGTCCGCTTCCTTAACCACTAAGCCACCACTGCCCCCCAATCTGAAACTGGCCAAGCCCAAAGTATATTTAGCAGTATTTCCCAAATGACTCCAACCCTGATAAATGTTTTTGTTTCTTCAAAGTTATTGGAGTTCAACTTTTTTACTCTCTATCTTCACTTCTTCCTGCCATTAAATCCAATAGTTTCCACCCTCTGTCCCTTCAGTCAGATTCTAAAGGACACGTGTGGCATCACTAGCAGCAGAGTTGTGTATCTGGAGACTGTGTGCCAGAGGGGGGTATCATTAGTCTGCAGCAGAGCCTTCAAACACACACACACACACACACACACACGCACACACACACACACTGAGGGCTTTGCTAGCAGTAAATGTCACAGAGGGGGCTCCCATGGTGCCGGAAAATCGTTTCCTCTCCCATTTTACCTCCCTCCTCTCCAACTATACATTATTAAAAAGGCCACGCAGCAAGGCACTCTGGGAGGATGCCCACCGTCCAGCGAGGCAGGATACACAAAGCACCGGTGCAAAACTTCATCTGTTTCCTCATCTGCCTCCTGTCAGCTGACACATGCCTACTTTATAGCTGTCAAGGTGAAACCAGTCACAGTCGGAGAGGGAGTCGTAATTGAACATCAGAGCTGTCACAGCTCGTCCTGAGAGATTTCACAGCACAACGTTCACATCTGGAGGAGACACACCTCCTTCTTCACTCTCATAAAGACTTCCTGGCGTGACGTTGAGGAGCTGAGGCCAGATTAATCACCTGGGGCTTGATTCAATTTGTGAGTATTGTTTTGTAGTATGGTTTGCAAATCTAATTTAAATGTAGTGTAGTTTACCATCTTAACATGGAATGATAACAAGACATCATAATATATTTACCTAATATCTATTTATCTTCACGGTCTCACATGGTCCAACAAAAAACACATTTTCACCTTAACTAAACACTGAATGGCATCTAATAACGAAGAACCATGTTTCATTGTACTTGTCATGATATTTTGAGAAGTAAATCTCACAGAGGTCACAGCTTAAGCACCTTAAGGAGCACAAATGGAGGTGAAGCAAATGCCAGCAGCCACCAGGCAAGGGTAGAATTCACCTCGGACACTTTGTCAGTCCATCACAGGGCTAGGATATAGAAACACACAACCATTCACACTCAGATTCACACCTATTCACACCTCAATTACGTCATGAACTGTGAGAGGAAACCAAGGAACACAGGAGATTCTTCTTGCTGTAGGGCTAACCACTCCGCCCCCATGTGGCCATTTAGAAATGTAGAATTTAAATTTTGCAATTTTGTAAAAATATGATTGGCTCATGTTTGTGCCATGAAAGACAAAAACTACACTGCAGTTCCCAAAAGCCAATGTCATATCATCATAATTCATATTCTTATTCTTATGCAATAGCAGACAGCTCTGGACTGCAGGCAGGCCACTGAAACACGAGAACATTTCCTCATATTGTCACAATTTTGAAATTTGTGCAGACTGAGAATGTCAATTTTCTTGCCCCAAACACAAGCTGCTATTTGAAAGTTCTTTGTGTGACTACAAAGCATGTTTCCTTGGTTCCTGTAGGTAAATCACAGAACGACACAGAGAATGAATGTACATCTGGTTACCTTCTGGTTACCTTCTGGTTACCTTCTGGTTACCTGGTTACTTTTCTGTTCCATCTGAATGAACACACTATACATATAATTCCCTCAGAATGGACAAACTGTATGGAGCAATTTTAGATCAGCCTAATTTTCTGTCAGTGGTTCAGGTCATTGTTGTCCCACCGGAACCCGGGTGAGTGAAAAATGGAGACAGCTCCTCCGTAGCTGCCCATTCAATAGCAAAACAAGGATGAATCAAATCTCCGGGGTGATTCTCTGACTCATGCTGACTCTACTGCTGTGTGCATGTGTGTGTGTGTGTGTGTGTGTGTGTGTGTGGTAGCACAGGGGAAACTGCAGTCAGATAGAGAGAAAGCACTGAGGTGTGCTGCTCACTGGTCCAAAGAAAACTCTTCATTTGTCCCTGTTTTCAGTGACTGACAGGACAGATGGTCTGGCTGTGCCCAGGATCCACTTGGGACCGAAGTTTCCATTGGGTAACGAGAAGGGCAGGAATGGCCTTCAGGGATTTTATTTTTTTTTCACGTTTCCCATCACAATCGTCCTCCTTCATACCCAACAACATGCATGCTAAATGTGTTCCTCATAGTGACCTCTAAAGGATGTCAATGTCTGTCTTGCAATAACAGAGCAATTTAGTAATAACTTTCTTAAAAACAAAGGATTTCATTACAGATTCCCAAAAATAACATGCAGGTTTTGATATTGTTTCTTCTCTGATTGGCTTCCTAAATTTTCTTTCAGTTATGTTTTCCAAAACATACAGTACAGGGTTAAGATTTACCCTCTATGCTGATGATTCACTTTCTTATGTGGACATTCGTCTGTGACTGCTTACAGGGCAAAAAAAATCCTAATTATTGCTCCAACTTTCTGAAGTTGGAGCAAAACAAGAAATGCTGAAAAGCACAATGTCAGGTTCCAGGTGTGAAAACGTGACAATCAGTATATACTGACATAAAAATGGAGCTGAAAGGCGTCCTCCACAAACTATAAACAAACCTATTGGAACCTTTATCCAAAATGATTGGAAGGAAATGGCTGTCAGTGCTGAGTGGTCTTGTCAGCAGAAGCAGAGTTTCATGTTTAAAACCTACACATCACTGTAAAGGAGAATTATGTCATGTATTTCTCTGCAGCTGTCAA